ATTCCTCGATCCGCAACCAGTTATGCCACTCCCCACTTCGACCATCGAAACCACCATAAGAAACTCGATGGATACTTCGTTTGGCGTAAAAAGCTTTGCAGTTTTGTTGTTTCAAGTTTTGTGTTTTAAAAATGGTAGTAACGAATATTTTTCGCATCACTTTAAAACTCGGAGCGATAAAAATGAAAATGATTCCATCAACACAAATAAACGATTTGACAAATACATCAAATGCAAATTCATGAGTGAGCCGAACATGTGAGCAGTTTATTTAGTGTTCTTAAAAAAAATAAATCCTCAGACGAGATAGTTCTTTCATGCCTTTACGAGCTCTGTTAAACTTGCAAGTGAAATCACATTATTTTAATAAATAGAACACAAGAAAATATTTTATTTTTCTTTTTGCCACTCCGAATTTAGTTTTGGAACTCACCCGCGATGCAAAATTACATCGTTAGATTTAATCTTCACATTTTTTGATGATCTTTGGGAATATGGGTCCACCGAAACCAGTAAGGCTTTGATAGGGGCCTACGACAAAAATAAGTTTGGGAACTTCTGGCCTAAGCGATTTTGGCCGAGTTCAACAAAGCACGCCAGTCGTTTCCTTCTGTCTTTCTGTGGGCAAGAATGATTCTGCGTTGTATTTCGATGCTGACATTATTATCGATGTTAATGCTGGTTCCCAAGCAAGCGAATTTCTTCACTTTCTGTTTAAGATACTTCGGCTTGTCCTCGTTTACCATCAGACCCATTCGCTTTGCTTCCTTATCCAACTTGGAAAAGGCAGAACAGACTTCGCGGTTCTTGTTACCGAAGATGTTGCTGTCATCGGCGTACGCCAGCAATTGCACGCTCTTGTAAAATATTGTTGCTGAGCGGTTCAGTTCTGCAGCTCTTATTATCTTCCCCAACATCAGATTAAAGAAATCACATGAATGAGAGTCGCCCTGTCTGGAACACCGTTTGCTAGCAAACGGCTCAGAGAGGTCTTTCCCAATTCTGACAGAGCTGCTGGTATTGCTCAACGTCATTTTACACTGCCGTATCAGTTTCGAGGGTACGCCAAACTCAGACATCGCGGATTATACGCACCTTCTTTTAGTGCTGTCGAAAGTGGCTTTGAAGTCGACAAACAGGTGGTGAGTGTTGATCCTTTTCTCGCGGGTCTTTTCCAACATTTGGCGCATTGTGAATACCTGGTCCATGGTAGATTTGCCAAGTCCAAAGCCACACTGATAAGGTCCAATCAGTTTGTTGACGGTGGGCTTCAGTCTTTCAGACAATACGCTCGATAAGACCTTGTAACCTATGCTTAGAAGGTTGATACCGCGGTAGGTCGCGCGAATGGCAGGGTCGCCTTTCGTGTGGATTGGGCAGAGTACACTTAAATTGCAGTAGTCGGGCATGCGTTTTTTGACGAGGGGTGACTCCGAGGATTTTGGGGTTATTCACCGTCGGTATGTTTCGCCATCGACGTGAATACCCAGTTGCAGTCTGACCTCCTTCGTCCAGATGGTGAAAAGCGTTGCCGAGGATTTCGTTGGGGAGAGGGTAAGGCTCCTTGCAGTGAAGAAGCGAGAAAGCTTGGCGAGATAACCGTTTACTTTCGAGCACAAGTAATCAATTCCATTCCCGGACGCCATAATCGAGCCATCATCAGCATAAGAGACAATAGTGACCCCTTCTGGTGGTTGAGGGAGCTTTGAAATGTAATAATTAAACAATAGCGGGGATAAGACACCACTCTGTAATACCCCCTGTTTAATTTTTCTCAGTTTGCTAGTTTTGACCCTAAAGATTACTGACGAGTGTCAACCACTCAGGTTATTCGCCGACCACCGTTTGAGTCCCTGTGGCAGTGAGGTGGCCTCTACATATATCTTGTAGCAGCGTTGAATGACTGACAGTGTCGCCGCCTTAGATAGCTCTCGCAAGGGCGGTTCGGTTAAGGCTACGAGTTATCTGGGTGTTTATGGCGTTAAGTGCTGTTGTTGTGCTGTGTACTTTACGGAACCCATGCTGATGCTTCGCTGGGGTCAGGTGGTTTGTGTAGTGCGGGAGTAGAAGGGCCTCTAGTGTCGTCGCTGCCAGGGAAAGGGGGGTTATCGGGCGATAAGACGCTCCTTTGTTGGACGTTTTCCCCGGTTTAAGCAGTGGGACCACTCTTCCCATTTGCCAGATGTCTGGAATGATGAGACTGGCCATAGACAGGTTGAGGACCTTGGTTAAATAGTCCACTCCCGCAGGACCCATATTTTTCAGCATCAACATGCAAATTCCATCGGGTCCTATGGCTTTGGAGGTTTTCGCTTTACCTCAGCGCTGGTGAAAACAAGAGGCGCACTTGATTTTGGACGTTTGGCTTTGTCCGCCGGAGGATGCAGTATGAACATGTTCGCGCGCAGCTTTTTACGTCCTTTTTGTTGTGCCTTATAAAAGTTTTCGTACACGTTTTACCTTATACTCCTAGCACGTGCTATAAAAAAATCTTGCTACATACGCTGAATAAATATTTTGTCCATGTTATCTTTTCGTAAGGATTTAAAGCGATTACAAGTTTTCTTGACTTGCCAAAAGTAGTTCTGAAATAAGTCACTTTTCGTGTCCATGCTCCTCAACCACTTACTATCGATTTAAATTTAAAATAAATAATGCCTAAAAGTTTCCAATTAGTAGATGAAGTAAACCTTAAAATAAAATTATTGGCTATAGTGTATTTCTGAAGACACTCTTAAGATTGTTTAGGTGCGACAGTTATTATTTTACACGCTTTATTTGTTATTTTTTTTTTGGTAGTCATTTTTCAACCTAATTTTGTAGGAGTAGAACATTTTTATACCCGAGCGCACTTGTGCACAAGGGTATTATAACTTTGTTCACATAACGGTTGTTTGTAACAGGCAAAACGAATCGAGATAGATATAGACAAATGTATACATAAATGATCAGAATGAAAAGAG